AATCCTAACTGATAACACAGACCGATTGTATACAGGAACGTGTAAATTTAGTACTATCGCGTTAATAAATACTCCTTGAGTTTTCATTGAATACGACAGCGTGCTTCATTATACGAACCAGTACTTGCTTCTAAGTCTTTTATTCTTGATCGAGAGATATAGGGATTTCTGAAAAACAATTTTCGGTTGAATTTGTTCAATAATAGAATATTATGATAGAAAGACACAATGATGATCGATAATAGTTCATTCTCGTTAGATTCCTTTCGATGTCTGTATTATATTGATGGTATAGAATATCCATGATGGATGGAAACAGTTTAAATCTCGTGTATCTATTTAAAGTACCTGTGATAAATAAACTCGTTCCTCGCGGACTTCATCGAGATGTTCGTGTGCTGGTTGGAAACGATCCGACGGAATTGGAGATGGTATATATTCTTCGAATGATGGCGGTGGTACCGGACTTTTTGGTAATTCCCCTGGTATTTTAGCTGGTTTAGCTCTGTTATAAAATAGAACAAAAATATCAATAATGATATTTTCACTTGTAATACAATTAACCTATCCTTATTGACAGAACTACATAATAGCGAACCAACAAGCTGTCTTTGAACGATTCGACAAATCTATAATTTTTCATTACTTTTACTAATATTCGAAGAAAAAAATTTGTTTCCTCTCATTCAAAAACTAATCGAAAGTATTTTTTACTCCGGTGCTGCGAGCTGTCGGTTATGTGCGAGCATTGCAATATTAAAAAGTTATTGAATTATAATTAAAGGAATGATATTGAAGCGGCGATAGAGCGGCATTATTCTTTTTTTTGGCTATACTCGATATTGCATAAAAATAATATTAATAATAATAATCTAATATTTGATATATTTCTGACAGACTAGTAACCGCAGCCCTGCCGCCAATGATCGAGCCGATAATCATAGGCGATGTTGTAGGAGTGTCGATACGAGATGCTCTAGAATGTTCGGACCTTTCCACGACGAGCTTTATTCTTTCAGACTTTTGTAGAAGATTTTGGGCGTCTACATGCCTCACATCACGTGTGTCGTAATCGTCGATTTTTTTTATCACGTCACCCCTCTGGAGCTCCTCGTTCTCCGACTAAAATCAAATACAATGATCACTTTCACTAAATATATCATATGATATGTCATATTATATACATATAAATATTTATATTTATATTTATCATATAATCATATTGATTTTTATAAAAAATGATTTTTAAAAAATTCATAATACTTTAATTTTTATTTCGTTTATAGATCAATCTTTTAAAAACAAATATTTTTAAGAAAAATATTTTACCACAAATTATATGGTTTTTATATAAAAATAAAATAAAGCTGGTATTTCGTAAATAAGACAGTATTTTTGTGTATGTGTGTGTATATATATGTATGTATATCTGTTGTGGTTATAAGTAAAACTAATCCTATAATTGTGTTAGTAATAAAAATAGTTGGCATTAGTCCATGTATGTTTATCGTTCTCTTACTATATCTAATAATTGTGCCAAAGGATTTCAAAGCTCATAAACATATACAAACTTTTTAACATAGATTTATCCGTACAATTAAATGCAACAATATGTTTAAAATCAGATTTAGTATGATTTGATTAAGAACATTAGAATTTTAGAGAATCACGAAGACTTGCACGACAACTTCGATTAAGTCGAAAAAGAGTTCATTGTCCATATTATGTAATTAAATTTGTTTCTTTTTTTCTTTTTTTTAGGGCCATCAAGCGATGCACATAAAATTGCACTTATATTTTCTCATATGTTAATTTGTTAATTCTCATTTGTTTCATTTTTTTTTATTTTGTAGATCTCTCTTACAAATTTTTTCGTTCCTTTCTCGATCACTCGTATAAAATTGAAAAGAAACTCACGCGGGTGACGACAATAGGTGAACCCAAATCAGCTCCACCAGCAATTCTTATTCCCCAAGGTCTACCAGTACTGGATCTTTTAAGTTTTATGATCAAAGTTTGCTTTCTCGTCATGCTCTAATCCTTTAGTCCACGATGTAACGTAATAACAAACACAATAAAAGAGAAAAAGAAAGAAAGAAAAAGAGGAGGAGAGAAAACTTTTCTCAATAAATGTTTGATAAATAACTTTCTAGGAGCACGAAACAATTAAAAGGAAAAAATAAATAAATAAATAGAGTATTATGATAATATAACAAACGAAATAGTGAAAATGACGCGCACGTAGACAAACGAGAACTGAGATGGTTCACAACGGTACTTTGACTTTGACAGGCCTAACTCGAAAGCTCGTTGCTCAACTAACAGGCTGCCTCTGCTATTCTGGCCCCATTTCGAATTGGCATCCCACTTGTATTGTTCTGGTCCGACCTGCACTCATTTCTCTGGCATTTACGAGTTGGGGCGGACGGCAAACATACACATATCTGCGCGCGCACATAAGATTTTCTCTAACAAAACCTCTCAACCCTATTCAATTTTATTTCCATACAGTTCTTCCTTGTGGGAGGTCGTTGAGATTCAACAATGATCTAATACCTTTCATTAGAATATCCCATCTTAATATTATTAGTCCTTTCTATCGATCACATCATATTTTGTTTCTCTGTCTTTATATTATGTATAAATTAAAATCAACGTAGTAGTAAATTAGAATAATTTTTTTATATACGACAATCAGTAGAGAATTGGTGTAGAATTTTTTTTAAATAAGTAAAAATTGGAGAAAATGATTATTGATAGATATTATTAAAACCCTTTATAGGTTTACGTATAATGAAGGGGAAAGATAATTATTGTGGATATTTGTTTCATTTTTCTTTTTTCTTTTTTATATGTATATAAAATTACAAAAAAAAAGAAAAAAGAAATACTAAAGTGTAAGAGTTCTGAAAACCGTTCAGGTTGAGTCAGATACTCACATAGGTCTCGTAATAATTGCCTATGGAGAACTTAAGAGCCATTTCTTCTAACGATGAAAGTCCTTTGCTCTCTTGTACTCTTCTTAGAGAGCTACTTTCACTGACGTCCGCAATCGTCCGAAAGCTTCTCCCCTATGCTCGAACGATTTAATTAGTTTAGCTTCACTGTGTGATCGAAGAGTCTTGAGATAGAAAAGAGAAAGGAAATGAGATAAGGTGTAAGATCCCTAAGATGGAGCAAGACGGATCTATTGTGTACGTAAACTTCGCCTTAAATTAGCAACCTATAGCGCGAAAGGTTAGTCAATCAGTGTTCAAACTTTACTATTCTAATGACTCATTTGTATAGATTTATTCAACAATTCAAAGGATCATGTGTAATATATTGTTTTGATATATAGCATTATCGATGATTCATTAAATGATATTAGACGGTCGTTTATTAATGGTCTCTAAAGATACATATATATAGCATATGAAGAAAATAAGTAAATAAAAATAATATGATGAGATATAGATGTGCTATTATATGTGGTATTAAAAAAATAACTTCTGAAAGTTATTTCGATACTTTCGATTCAAAGATTACTTCGATTGCAAATATTCCTCGGTAATCACTCTGCTAATGAGCATCCTACGTATTTCACTAGTTCCTGCACCAATTTCATAAATTTTAGCATCTCTTAGATATCTTCCAGTAGAATAATCATTGATATATCCGTTTCCACCTAGAATTGATAAATACAAAATATATAAAAATATAAAAAAGAAAGTATCGTTATGAAAGAAGTGACAATGAACTACCAAGTATTTGAATCGCATCTAAAGCAGCCTTCGTTGCATTCTCAGCGCAGTAAAGTACCACTGCAGCGCAATCCTTGCGATTCACGTGTCCTGCATCGCAAGACCTTGCAATTGAATATAAGTAACTTCTACTAGCGCTTAGAGTGGTATACATATCTGCAATTTTTCCTAAAAGTTTCAAAAATGAGTTTAGTACATGTTATGCATTATTCAGTATTTTATTTATCATATACAACTTTTAGGAGATATCACCTGTATCAATTGAAATTCGCTTATATACTTTCCAAATTGTTTCCTAGTATGTGCATATTCAAATGCAACATCGCAGCAAGCTTGAAGTATACTAAAAGTGCATTTAAATTATTTAATACAAGAAGTTATTTAAAATAATCAAATCGTCATATCTTACCCTAAAGGACCACCTGCTAAAATCAAACGTTCCAAATCCAAACCACTGAAAAGTACATATATTCCTTTGTTTAATTCTCCGAGTACATTTTCCACTGCAAATATTTATTATGTACATATTTTGTATCAATCAGATGAAATTTATATAAAAAAAGTTCTATGATTTACCAGGAACTTTACAATCCTCGAAAATTAACTCCGAAGTATTCGATCCTCTCATTCCTAATTTATCTAATTTCTGAGCTGTACTGAACCCTTCCATTCCTCGTTCTATGATAAAAGCTGTGATTCCATGTTGCGGTTTCAAATAATTTGGATTTGTCTTGGCGTAAACTACAAGAACATCAGCATCCGGACCATTTGTGATCCAAAATTTATTACCGTTTAAAACAAAATAGTCGCCTTTTCTTTCGGCTTTTAATTTCATCGATACGACGTCTGATCCCGCTTCTGGCTCTGACATAGCCAAAGCCCCAATATGTTCACCGCTACATAACTAAATTATAATCATTAGAAAATTATTATAAAAATATTTTCTTCTTATTATTAATTAATTTACCTTTGGCAAGTATTTCTGTTTCTGTTTGTTTGTACCGTTTCTATTAATTTGATTAACGCACAAATTGGAATGAGCTCCATAACTAAGTCCAATGGCTGCACATGCTCTACTTATTTCTTCCATAACTATTACATGTTCAAAATACGAACCACCGGTTCCTCCATATTCCGTATCAGCTGTTATTCCTAATAGACCCAAATTACCAAGTTTTTTCCAAAATGTCTAAAAAGATTCGATATATAAATTTAATGGTTAATTTTACAATATATAAATTTAAAAATAAACAAATGTTAATTATTTAAAAACTTATTTGGTAATGCATACTCTAAGTTCATCAAAATTATTTTTTCTGTCGATTTCAGTTGCCTTAGGAGCCAATTCTTTCTGAGCAAAATCAAAAATCAAATTGCGAAGCTGTAAAAATAAATAAAAGTAAAATTAAATTAATAAAACATGCTTTATTGCGCCATAATATTGATATTTCTTTATCCTTGCGAGTATAAATCTTGGCTATCGCAAAGAACGCCTTTTTAAAAATAAATCAATAAGCCTACGAAGTTAGTTCAGATACTTGGCTGTTAGAGCGAGCTACAAGTTCAAAAATCACATATCATCTCATAATCAATTATAAATAATATTAATAGAAATAAAGAATTTCATATTTAAATAATAATATAAAATATGAAAAATATTATAATATAAATATATATATTATATATTTTATAAAAATCGATTTTGATTTATTTTCATCAATAATGAAATAACTTGTTATGTTACAATACGATAATGATTGCATTTCTCAGTAAAAACTCGGATTATTAGAAAGTCAAATTAACTAACCTCTTTCTGCTGGTCATTTAAACCAAATGTATTTTCATTTATTTTATAATATTTTGTTGAATATTTTACATTACATTTATAAATATATTTTATAGAATTTTTAAGCCATACGTTTTTTAATATATTAAAATACCACATTTTTAAAAATATCACAAAATAAAAATTTGAATAGAATTTCACTATTTAGTGTTTAATAGTACTACCATTATAATATATTACAATATATATATTGTGTAACAAACATTGCATCAATTTAGATAAAACTTTCTTATCGTTAGAAAATTCATAATTTTATGTGCAAATATATACGATTCAAAATAACGAATTGAAAGAAACAAATTTATATATTATAACTATACAGAAAATATAATTACGATTTTATTATATTAATTGTTTTAAAGATTAATATTATAAAAGAGTTTAATTATTTTTAATATTATACTATCGATAGAGGAAAAAAGTATTCTACACACGTTGCATTGTATCACGTTGTAGCGTGTGTTTGCCGACAGTAATATACAAACGGCATGGCTTATTATTGAGTCATGTTTAGTTGTAGAAATTTCGGTTATTAAATATACTTGTAAGTTTTAAATAATTTTATTTCAAAGTAAAACATGGGTGAAGTAAAATTTAGTAATTTGGACGGTATAAAATCAGAACAAAAATACAATAGAGTTGTGAAACATATACAGGTATTAAAGAGGTTACTTATTTTTACAAAAAAGTTATAGTCTTCAATATCATTTTATTTATTTATTTATGATTATGTTAATAGCATTAAAAAAAATGTGCAATAATAATAATAATAATAATAATATATTTCACATGATATTTATAATATAGGATAAGTGGAAATTAGTACCTGCTTTTCTCAAAGGAAAAGGTTTAGTCAAACAACACATTGATTCCTTCAATTATTTTATTAATGTCGAAATAAAAAAAATAGTTAAAACAAATGAAAAGGTACTTAGCGATGCAGATCCTTTGTTTTATGTAAAGTAAGTACTATTACAATTGTTCTTAACGTTTAAATAATAATTAATAATATGTCTACTTTCTTTTCTAATTATTTATTTAATTTGTTAAAATTTAATGCATAGATACTTGAACGTACATGTTGGATCTCCTGATGTAGAGGAAGGTTTTAATGTAACACGGTCTACTACTCCACATGAATGTAGATTGCGAGATTTAAACTACTCTGCACCGATTACCGTTGACATTGAATATATCAGAGGTCATCAACCTATTATTAGAAATAATTTATTGATTGGAAGGTAGATTTAAAAATTTGTTTTGTTAAAATACCATTTAAAAAATACTAATTTGATTAATTATTTCTAGAATGCCAATTATGCTTAGAAGTTCGAATTGTGTATTAACTAACAAATCTCATTTTGAATTGGCTAAAATGAACGAGTGTCCTCATGATCCTGGTGGTTATTTCATTATTAATGGTCAAGAGAAAGTTATACTTATCCAAGAGCAAATGCTTAGAAATAGAATTATTTTAGAAGAAGATAGTAAAGGATGCGTAGTAGCATCCTGTAATAGCTCTACACAAGAAAGAAAGACAAAAACTAATATAGTTGGTAAAGGTGGAAAGTATTATATGAGACATAATATTTTTCAGGATGTAAGTTATAATTATAATAAATGATATATCTGCATTGTCAGAAAATAAAAATTAGTAATAATGTATTTTAATTATTAGGACGTACCTGTTACAATAATATTTAAAGCAATGGGAATAGTATGTGATCAAGAAATAATGCAACTTATTGGTGCAGAAGAAGAATTTATGAAAAAATTTGCACCCAGTTTAGAAGAATGTCATACATTACATGTTTTTGCTCAAAATCAGGCTTTAAGGTACCTATTTACAATTACATGAAGCCTCAATATAATAGAATTCCGATTATGTTTTTTTTTTAGATATTTAAGTAATAAAAGGAAACAAAAAAGATATTCTATGATCAAAGCTAGTATTACTGATGAAATCAAGGATATTTTAGCAACTAATGTACTATCTCATGTTCCTGTAAGTATTCTCAGAATATATCATAGTATTAATATCTATTTAAAAAAATGTATATATTATTAATATAGGTCAACGATTTCAATTTTAAATTAAAAGCCACTTATCTGGCTTTAATGGTAAGAAAAGTTATGAAAGCACAAGGTGATGGAAAACTTGTAGATGATAGGGATTATTATGGTAACAAACGTTTAGAATTGGCTGGTTCCCTTTTATCTCTCATGTTTGAAGATTTATTTAAAAGATTTAATAGAGAAGTATGTACAATATTATTATTAATATATCCTATGAAACAAAATGTTTACTTATATCATTTTTGTAGTTAAAACAAATTGCAGATAAAAATATACCAAAAATAAAAGCAGCTCAATTTGATATTGTAAAACATATGAGACAAGATCAAATTACAAATGGTTTAGCATTCGCTATATCATCTGTAAGTAAACATTATTATTTTTAATAATTCACTAATATGTATCGAATATTCAATGATTCAAATGTATTTGAATTAATAGGGTAATTGGACTATTAAAAGGTTCAAAATGGAACGGCATGGAGTCACTCAAGTTTTGTCAAGGCTATCATATATTTCAGCTCTTGGCATGATGACGCGTGTTAATTCACAATTTGAGAAAAGTAGAAAAGTATCTGGTCCTAGATCTTTGCAACCATCGCAATGGGGAATGTTATGTCCAAGTGACACGCCTGAAGGAGAGGTAAAAAATATATGTTTGTTTATTACATTTATCTTAATCTATGTTTTATAATTTTTCTTGTGGTTTATTTCAACAGAGTTGTGGATTAGTTAAAAACTTAGCTCTTATGACACATATTACTACAGAAGTTGAAGAAGAACCTATTATAAGATTAGCATTTAATCTCGGCGTTGAAAATGTAAATATACTTGGTGGAGAAGAAATTAATAATAAAGACGTGTATATGGTCTTTCTAAATGGAAACATTTTAGGCATTGTCAAAAATTATCAGAGACTTGTGTATATATTCAGATTATTACGTAGAAAAGGTCTGGTGAATGGTTTTGTTTCCATATTTACACAACATCAACACAGGTATAATACAAATTTTATTGTCTGTATTATTATTTATATTTTATAAAAGTACTTATATATATCTTTTTTAAATCTTACAGCTGTATTCAAATTAGCTCTGACGGAGGTCGTTTGTGTAGACCTTACATAATTGTTGAAAAAGGAGAACCACTGGTTCACGAAGAACATATTAAATTGTTGGAACAAGGTGTTAGAACTTTTGAAGATTTTTTACAAGATGGTAAGTACACTATAATGATTACTCATATTAAAAACAATTAATTAACTACATTGTCTTTATATTCTACTTTTGTATTTTATTCTCACTTACAGGTTTAATTGAATATTTGGATGTAAATGAAGAAAATGATAGTTCTATAGCATTTAATGAAGCACATATAAATGCGAACACGACACATTTAGAGATTGAACCTTTTACGTTATTGGGAGTTTGTGCTGGTTTAGTACCATATCCACATCACAATCAAAGTCCAAGAAACACTTACCAATGTGCTATGGGTAAACAAGCTATGGGAACCATTGGTTATAATCAGCGTAATCGTATCGATACTCTTATGTATAATTTAGTATATCCACAAGCACCAATGGTGAAATCACGTACAATAGAACTCATTAATTTTGACAAGTTACCTGCTGGCCAAAATGCAACAGTTGCAGTTATGTCTTATAGTGGGTATGACATTGAGGACGCTTTAATTTTAAATAAAGCTTCTATTGACAGAGGATACGGAAGATGTTTGGTATATCGAAATGCAAAATGTACTTTGAAAAGATATGCTAATCAAAGTTACGATAGAATAATGGGTCCATTAATCGATACAACTACTAAAAAGCCAGTGTGGAAACATGAAATAATTGACAGTGATGGCATTGCTGCTCCAGGTGAAATGGTAGAAAATAAAAAAGTAATGGTAAATAAATCTACACCATCGTCCAGCATTGGTCCAGTTAATTCTGCCAATGCCCAGGCACAAACAGAATATCGAGATGTTCCCATTGTATTCAAAGGTCCAGTTCCTGCGTATGTAGAAAAAGTTATGATATCTAGTAATGCGGAAGATGCTTTTTTGATAAAGCTACTATTAAGACAAACTCGAAGGCCTGAAATCGGTGATAAATTTAGTAGTCGTCATGGACAAAAAGGAGTAACTGGTACAATCACTTTTTCTTTTGTTCACTTTCTTATTTTATTTTTTTCTTTTTTTGATCACATAAAATAGGATATATTCTTTTTATTGTCATTTTACATTTATATCGTTCACATAGGATTAATTGTGGAACAAGAAGATATGCCATTTAACGATTATGGTATATGTCCTGATATGATTATGAATCCACATGGTTTCCCATCTCGTATGACTGTTGGAAAGTTAATAGAATTGCTTGCTGGTAAAGCTGGTGTCCTTCAGGGACAGTTTCATTATGGAACAGGTAAATTTATATAAAAACATAAAATTTAGTGATACTACTCTAATGATAAGTTATTACAAATAATTATAAATTATATCCACAGCATTTGGTGGTTCCAAAGTTGAAGATGTTTGCGAAGAACTTAGAAAACATGGTTTCAATTATTTGGGAAAGGACATCTTTTACTCTGGAACTACGGGTGAACCACTTCAAGCATATATTTATTCTGGCCCTGTAAGATTTTTAATTCGAATTTTTTTCTACCTTATGAATATTATTTATTCAATATTTGAAATGTTTTTTTACAGGTATACTATCAAAAACTTAAGCATATGGTACAAGATAAAATGCATGCTCGTGCCCGTGGACCTAGAGCAGTTCTTACACGCCAACCAACGGAAGGTCGTTCCAAAGAAGGTGGTTTACGTTTAGGTGAAATGGAACGTGATTGTCTGATTGGATATGGAGCTAGTATGATGTTAGTAGAAAGACTAATGATATCAAGTGATGCATTTGACGTTGATGTTTGTAATAAATGTGGTCTAATGGCGTACAGTGGGTGGTGCCATAGTTGCCGCTCTAGTGCCTGCGTTTCAACTATTTCCATGCCATACGCTTGTAAATTGCTCTTTCAAGAGTTACAATCTATGAATATTGTACCTCGTTTAACATTAAAACATTATTGTGATTGAATATATTTATGATACACAATAATATCTATATAAGAATTCACTTGTTCATGATCATTGTATATAGATTACATTTCATTAATAAAATTAATATTATCAAATTTAATACGTCTTTTATATTTAATAAAGTCTTTTCTTCATCTATTATACGTCATCTATTGTAAAATATAATTGTTTTATCATTTTATATTCTCAATATATATGTATATATATTGTTTACGATGCATTCATCATAGAAATTCGGCATGTAATTTAATTTCAGGAGTTTCAATATGTCTTTTGCTTTGTATCAAGCGTAATTCTATTCTTTGTGCAAATTGCGTCCTATCATCTTTATATTCTGAAAGATGAACAATTATCTATATATATAATTATGTAAAAACATACATATATGTATGCGTATGTGTATATATGTATGTATGTACTTTTATATACATAAAACAGAATTTCAAAGAAAATTTACCTTTGAATGATTTGAAAGTTTCAAAAAGAACACCTTGTAAAGAATTTATTGTCTTTTCAGTCGCTGTTTTAATATCTTCATGTAGATACGTATGAGCAAGAAATAAAGCAGCAAATAGATCACCAGAACCAGTAAAAGATGATGGTATTTTTGGAATATCAACCTTAAGTAGTACATCGTCTAAAATAAAATAAATGAAGAGAAATAATATTTAAGTTAATTCATATTAATTCTTAACACATTATTAAGAATACCTTTCAATGAACTGATTACTGCTAATATTTTATTATCCATTTCTGCAGATGATACAGCTACAGTTTGTGGTCCCATTTTATGTAACTCTTTTATAACAGTTTGCAATTCATCTAAACTATTAATACTTTTACCAGTTAACAATCTAAAACAGAATGCATATAATTCATTTTAAGAAAAAACCGCAATTGGTAATAAACAATATTATGAATTATGAATATACTATTTTTTTACATACTCAGTCTCAAACTGATTTGGAACTACAATATCTGCAAGGGGAACTATCTTGTTTTTATAAATATCTTTTAATTCCTTAGGGACATACATCTTACCATTATCACCCATAACAGGATCGCATACTAAAAGATAATGATAAAAATTATAAATTGTTATCATAATAAATTAATAGGAAATAAATAAATATACCATATATAAGATCAGGATTCTTCTGCTTTAATGCTCCAACTAATAAAGCTATTCTGTTCAAAAAAGATGCGGATCCTATATATCCTGTAAGTAAATGAGTATAATGATCCAAATTATTTTCTGCCAAGCCATGTACCAATTCATCTGTAATATAAATATTTTGGATTAGATAATATAATATTATGAAATATATATTTTTTATGCAACAAAACAATAACGTTCATTGTTATAAAATTATACTCACCTAAATCCTTATCATTAAGTACTTGTCCTTTAAAAACTTTATATCCTGTATGATTTGATAGTTGAACAGAATTAATAGCATCTACTTCAAAACCTAATAACTAAAACGAAATTTATTAAATTCATAGAAGTACAATATGGAAGAAATATACCTTAAAAAAATAAAAAAAAAAATTTATTTTTATTTATAAAAATTATATTTTATATTTACTTGGAGTGGAAAAGTAGCACTTTTATTACCAACATATCCTGACACTACATGACTTTGGATCGAGAGAACCCGAGGAATTTGCTTCGAATTCATATTATTATTCTCAATGAGAAATACACGCAATTAATAATGTTCTTTCTCTAAACTTGAAAATGATAAGAAAATAATCACAAGTCACATTTTCCTTTTTCGTTGATTAGAAGCACTGTAGATATATAATAATAATAATAAAAAAGAATTGTTATTAGCAATTGTTAATATGTATCTTCAATAGTATAAATGATTCCTAGTTTACCGATTATAAATAAAACAGTACAGTATTTTATATTCTTTTATTTTTTTTTTCTTTTCTTTTTTTATTCTTTATTAAAGAATATTAAAATAGTCTTGTTTCCGTGTTTTGAAATGTATAGTATAAATTAAAAGTTATATAATAGTATTAGCTTGAACTTTAAGATATTGACATTAATTAAATAGTATAATACTTAGGTACAATTTATTTTATGCAAATATTAAGATTATATTGAAGAAGTATGAATATATTAACACTTCAAAATTACCACTAGAAAATATTTATCTTCTATATCTTATCTACGATTGGCACAGAGAGAGAGTGAGAGAGAAAGAGAGAGAGAGAGAAAGAGAGAGAGAGAGAGAGAGAGAAAGAGAGAGAGAGAGAAAAAGAGAGAGAGAGACAAGTTATTTCTTTATAATTTTTAATGTAGTTTCAATAGAGAGTGTGATCATCTGCATTCATGTTACCTCATGATTTGTTTTGTGCAGCCTGAAAAGTATGGCGACGTGGGAAAGTGAAAATGTTAATGACGGTGAAAATGCCGATGGTATTAATGATAATTTCAACGACATTATTGTGGCAGCTGATTTGCAGGATTATTTGGATGATAGTTTAGATTTACCTAGTTTCAGAAAAGTTTACGAACAAACGGATGTATTTGAACATGAAAAACACTCCGATGATGAATATGTTAACAATGAAAGGCTATCTAACAATAACAGTACGAGGTAAGGTTGGCAAAGTTTTTAATAAATATTATTAAAATTATTATAAATTATAAAAATATTTTAATAAATATTATATTAACAAATTAATCTTATTCCTTATTTGAGATCTTTAAAGTTCGAATTTAAAATATGTTCTTAATCTTTAAATCTTTATGTCATCTATATGTATCATAAGTTTTTACGTCGTTTCCTTATAAGGATAGAGTACTTTTGAAATTGGATTCTTATTTTTTGTACTTCAACTTTTGATTATTAATATTTGATAAATCGTATTTTATTATTTTCTAATAGATTTAATTTCAAATTTATTTCAAAGATGTTTAATGACACTGTAAATGTTTATTCGCATATTATATCATTTAATATAAATATATTTTTGTTTACAAAATTTTTATAAATTAATTTCTTTATGTATCATTCTAATTATATTTAGCCACATCCACCATGTGATTCGTCCTCAAGAAATTCATATGCATATTCATTCCAAAGAGAATTATTCTTCGTCTAATGGTTTTTTACATAAAACAATTACTACTGATAATATAGATTTGGATACAAATCAAAAAAATATTAACCGTTATACTTGTGAATATGAAGGATGTCCTCGAACATATAGTACAATTGGAAATTTACGCACCCATATAAAGACTCATAAAGGTAACTTTTGTTTGTTTATGTTTAGCTAAATAAGTTCATATGAATGCAGTGTTGTCTATCAATTTGTTTATAGGTTCTTTATAAAACAATCTTTTATAAAAAATCTAACGTGTTTAACATGTATTTATACATATTATATATATATATATATATATATATATATATATATATATATATATATATATATATATATAATATGTATATATAATATGTAGTAAGATATATATTATATATATATATATATAATATATATCTTACTGGCGATATATTTTTATTTTTATGTATTCTTCAAAAATGATATATAATGTATTCAAATAAATGTGAATACATCCATACATTTATATCCATTAATGTGTTACCCTAAGTAAAATGTATGTTTTGACATTTATTATAAATCAATAGTACTTCATAAAGATATCATGAATGTTGCTAATCGTTTAACATGCTTTCATGTCTTATCATTTTTGTTTCTTTTAAAAAAAATTTATATTGCTAATTGTAGTTGGGAGTTATTATTAATTTTATGTTTTAATAATTATAATTTCATATGTAAAAAAAATAGAATATTTTTTATTTCATACTAATAATAATTTTCGTGTTAGTGCTTTCAAAGGATAGATAGATAAGGTAAGTTCATAGATCTAATAATATTTATATATTACCATCAATATGAACTGTATAATGCTTTTTGTTTTTTATATTGCCGCTTATGTAGTCTTGATTCGAAATTATTGTGTCATCATTGTTAGTATAAAGGGAATGCTTTGACCTGCATGGCTTTCAGATGCCGCAAGAAAAGGTAGCCCCACAAATTTTTTATGTGGAGGGATTCTCAAAACTTTCAGGCGAGTTTCGATTTAAATGTGCAGAGCCAGGTTGTGGGAAGGCTTTTCTCACATCATACAGCCTGAAGATCCACTCTAGGGTACATACAAAAGTAAAACCATTTGAATGCACCCACAAAGGTTGTGGAAAAGCATTCAATACCCTTTACAGATTGAGAGCTCACCAAAGACTACATAGTGGTAATACATTCAACTGTAAAGAAATTGGCTGTGTTAAATTCTTCACTACTCTAAGCGATCTCAAGAAACACGTTCGTACTCACACTCAAGAAAGACCTTACAAGTATGTTTGAAAGATTTAACAAATCTAGAATTTCTTCTGGAGTTAGCTTCAGTCAAACATTTAAAGTTTAAATTGAACATTTCACAATATTTTCTATTTTTTTTATGTTCACCAGCTATATTAGATATATTAGCATATAAATGAGTTTAATTATAGATTTTAATTCTTTTTTTGTTTAATATTTAAAGGTGTAGAGAAAAAGGTTGTGGAAAGGCTTTTACAGCTTCACATCATTTAAAAACACACAAGAGGACACACACAGGAGAACGACCTTACACATGTACCTATAAGAACTGCAAACGATCGTTCACTACTCCTCATAGTTTAAAGAGTCATATTAAAACTCATAATAAGACTGTTAATAACGAAGATGTAGTAAGTAGCATATTAGTAATACTTATAAACATCTAATTAGAGCAGTATAAAATAGGTAATTAAAAAAAATAAAAAACAGTTAATATATACTTATGCATACATAATTATATATATTGTTACAGAGTCATCAAGATTCAATAGATGATAGTATTGAAAACCAAAGAGATATATCCCAAATTGTAACAGATGTGGGAAATGAAACAGATTGTGCCAATGATGCAACGGTATCATCTTTTGATATATCATTACCTTCAGATGAGGCACAAGAACATAAAAATATAACATACATTTCAACTCAAGAAAATGAACATATATCTGAAACTTCAATATTAAATATTCTAAATGATAATTCAATTAACAAGGAATTGGATTATAATATTGACAATGAAATCATAAATTGTCCAAATGAGGCTATCACAGTTAATCTTCTTTCAACTGATAATATTCTTGATAGTTTTGATCGTCAGACAATTTGTAATTTTAATAATAATGAAGACTATAAAAAATTTCATCACATCAATGATTCTAACATGGAATCTAATAATATAACTGACATGATAAAGGTTCAAAGTGATGTATACGAGTCCGATGTATTGCCTTGTTCTTTGAACAAATTACATAGTGATATAAGTGATCATAAATCATCTAATCCATTAAATTTAGAACAGAAAATTATACAGGATGGCTTGCAGAGCACAATTGCTGAGATTTCAGAAGGTACAAATTTTAATAACAAATCTTTGGTTTGTGAAAATGATTTTGCAGATAATCTGATAAATGAAACATTGACAACTAAAAATGATACAGCTTCACTATATAGTGATACTAGTCAAGAAAGAAATATATTGAATTCATCAGACACTGTACAACTTTTTAATGAAGAATTGGACAACCTTTCATTCATTCATGATACAAAATTGCAAACAGAGTCTCTTGAAGTAATGACTCAATCCTTGGCACCTAGCACTTTAATAAATGGCCCATCGGAGGCTGTGGAATTAGCTATAGCATCTGAAGAAGAAATACCTTCAGCTTGGGTAGATGTTACAGCATTAGCTACTGCACCTGTGACTGAATCTTGGTCAGAGCTGAACGCCTTTCCTACAGCGGTACATTCATTAGTAGATTTAGTAGGACCTGACCCTTATCCATTAGAAATAGAAAATCAATTTCAGAATGTGCAAAATTTAGAAACAGTTAATGCAGTAAGTATAGACACTGTTATTTCAAATCCTATCATAACCAAGTCTAAGGAAAATGAAAACGACGTATATAAGATCGATTACTTAAGATATAAAAAACACAGAAACGTCTTGCAAGAAATTGCTGCAGATGCAGATATTTGTAAATGCATTGATTGTAAATGCAATCATTTGCAGAATTGTCAAGATTGCACGAATACTTCTTTATCGGGAACTATTAAAAAAGATATATCAATGAAAACTGTGAATAATGAATGTTTACAAATTGAATGTGCTTGCAATTCCATTTCTGGAAATAGTGAATCTTGTTGCGTAGTAGTTTGCTTGCAAACTTTGCAGCAGTTGCAAAAAATATTTAATGCTAATTGTTGTAGAAATACTAATACTGATACTTGTAAAGAAAAATCGTTATTATCACTATTAAAATGCCAATTGACAAAAAATCAATGAAGTACAAAGTTGTGTGAAATAACTAGTCATCAAGAAAGAAAATATAGTATAAACTTATGTAAAAAAAATTTACAATTGTTAGTAGTTTATATGCTACATTGCTTAGCTTTAAATTTGACTTAAGCAATTTAAATGCCTTTATAGGTTTTTACTTAGAATAAATTAAAAAAGTATGACTGAATATATGTGTGTGTGTGTACGCGCGCGCGTGTAATGTTTAACAAAAGATTTCGTAATAGATGCAATATATAATATACTGTGAGATTCTTGTGCCAAAATGTTGATAAATTTTGTACAACATTTTTACATATGTATCGTATTATATTAATTATCGCGCAATATCAAATAGTAAAAATGCATTTTTTGATATTACGTGTTGAATATGGCTATAAAGGAGTACAAATTATTAATATCATATAAATACATATTTTTGAAAAAAACGTAAACAATAATTTCTTTTATTGTTAAAATTTTTGCACAATCAACTCCAATTTTTACCATTCTTAATATGCAGATATTATACACACAAAATTGAAATTGTTATATACATTGTGAATTATACCAAATAATGTAGATTAATAGTAAATACTAAAAAGAATTATTTATTATTTAATTATTAGTAGATGTTTATGTATTACTATATAATTTTATTGTACAGAGTGCCAAATACTTATACACCATGCCTAAGAAAAATGTTGGATATTTCTAAATAATATATTCTTTATACTGTAGAGTAATATGATTACAATACTTTTGTCAGTAATCATACATATTCTGATATTTTAATAATGATAAATTAATATGATTCTCATTATTTCGTATTATTTTAACAATTACAGTGTGAGATTTTTTATGGGTGTTCATCTACTTGAGAAATGTATCAGATTTAGATCACAAGATAACTTTTATGTACCTAAATAGCTCATAATTTGCAATATTTCTATGCTGTTAGAAATAAAATAATACAATAAATTATAATACAAAATATCATTTCTTTCTTCTTTTTTTTGTATATACATATTATTTTTTATTATAAACCTCTAAAGTTGATTTGTGTAGAAATTAATAGGATTATTTATATATATATATATATATATATATATATATATATATATATAAATTTTATTTAGATTGTTAATTTATCTGGTAGAGAACAAATGATCTTAATATAAGATTTTATTTTTACTGCATTTTATACAGCAATAGAATAATTATATGTTAAATATGTGTATCTAAGATTTAATAGCGTCATTTCAACAATTTTTTATACTTATTGTGACGCTTGCACAAGAGCTTCTGCAACTTCAACAGCAATGGCAGCTTCAGCTTTATCTTTATCTGATGACGCAGAGGAAAGTTGTTGCTGAGCTTTACTAAGTATTTCCCTTGCTGCAGAACTATCAAGATTTTCTACCGGATGAGCTTCTTCTGCTAAAATCTATACATTTTATAAATGCATATGCATATATATATATAAAACAAATTTTGTATGCAGTAAATATTTCTTATCAATAAATTAAAATTGTACCTGTACACTATTATTTTCATTTATCGTCACTGTACCAGAAGAAACAAAAACTTTTTTGGTATTACCATCTTGTTCGTAAACTGTAACAACACCTGGTTTTAATACGGCAAGGGTAGGTACGTGTTTTGGAAGGATACCAAAGGAACCAGAAAATGATGGAACGTCTACTTGTCGAATTACACTTTGATCATAAAATACCTAATAAAAAAGTTACTTTATAAGAATCATGAGATATATATTTTAATTCTTTTTTTATAGTTCTATAAGTTATATAAGAATATATATATATAAGAAGGTTTATATTTTACCTGATTAGCACCAGCAAATGTGAATTTCATTTCATCACTAGATGCATCGGCGTAAGTCCTGACTTGGTTACGCATATATTTTAAATATGGCCGAAAATTACGAGCGATAGTTGCCATTTTACCAGCCTAAATTTAATACATTTTTCAAATGTTATATCATTTTGATATATATGGTTCAATGACATTGTTACATCATAAGATTGAGATATATAACCTTAATGTCGATCTTACTTATTATGGAAATAATTTAAATGTTTAATTATTTTACGAAAGTATTTAACTGCACGAAAATAATACGTATTCGAATTATATCTTAACATTATAAATACCTTTATGATATTAATTTTACCTGTATAGATTTAAGAAAAGGTAAATGCTGCTATCGAGGATCACACAGCGCAAACGAATATGGAAAGAATTGAAACTTAGTTTCTATACTGATTAAGTGGTGTCGCTGGTGTACGTTACAGGTAATAGAAAATCCTTTTTTACCAACAAACGGTCTCTAATATAATAGTTGATATATTTTGCAATATTTTTATTTAAAATATTATTAGCATATAGAATATAATATATATTATAGTAAACAATTTATACGTTGTGTAGATTATGAATATTTATTAATTTGTTAAGAAATTAACACGTATATCTTTTAACAATTTTATTTAAAAATTAAGATAACAAATTAATATATAAGTTTAATATTCGCCCATCTAGATTTATATATGCTGAAGAATAGTTTTACAATTATTTCACAGCTTTCAAAAAATGCATCGAATATTGCGTATGTTTAACATACTATAAAAAAGGCACATTAAAGTGTGTAAATATAATTGCACTTTATGATGGAGTCGAGTTTTATATATATATATATATAAATATATATATAAATATATATATAAATATATATACATACACTTATTTCATAAAAATGTCTTTTTAGTATCATCAAATGTAACTTATTAATCTAATTATCTTATACTATACATATGTACAATATATTATATAAAACATCTTTTAGAAAATATATGACGTGAAAAAACATATTGCTTTCTTGTATAAAATATTACATATTATTAGGCGCATAATATCAAAATTTTAAACTGTCATGGCAGCTTTATGTTTTTTACACTTTTATTTCAATGTTTCTTACGAGAAACATTTTTTAGTGATTTTAAAAATTACTAAAGAATAATAAATAAACAGTGTATAATTGCAGAAAATATCACGAATTCACGAAAAACTTACCGATCGAAAGTTTCGTTTAATCATCCAATTCGTCGTCAGAAGTTTCAGAAGTTGTATCAATGTTATTCTGATGTTTCGACTTTATATGCCTTTCTAAATCTCTTCTTCTTACTAAAATTTTACCGCAAATTTCGCATTTGTATGGTGATTCGGCATCAGCATGTAGCCTCATATGTTTATTCAAATTACTCGGATCTCCGAATGGTCGATGACAATATTTGCAGAACAATGGCTTATATCCGGTATGAGTTCTGAAAAAAGAAAAACAAAAACAAAAACAAAAATTTCTCTCATTACTTGCTCCGTTATTTTTATCATTATATCGTAAGAGAAGATTTCAAATTATCAAGTTACCTGATATGAATTTTCAACCCATATTTCCTGGAATACATCTTTCCACAATATATACAAAGATGACCTTCTTTAGATTTTCCAAGGTTACTGGCAATAGTTTCAATCTCTGCAGCATGAGCAGTCGATTGTCTTTCTAATACGGGTTGTCTCTCATTACTCGCGGTTGGTGGACAAAGATCGGATAAAACGTCGGGTCCATTCATATATGTGTATGGTTTAAATGCCGACGGTCGATTTAACAAATTGTGCCTGATAGAATATATCGAGGCCAGCAAGTGTGGTGAAATTTGTCCAGGAGAAGGTTGATTCGAAGATGAAGGAGAGAACTGATTAGATGACGTAGGTGATGGATTTAAGGATCTATGGGAATTTGGAGGCTCGATGAGGATTGGCGAAATTATAGCCGTGGGAGCGGTTAATTGAAATCGGAAAGGTGTTGGAGGACATAAATTTGATAACGAAGAAATTTTCCTCGATAGAAGATTCCACAAATAATTAAGGTCTAACCGGTCACAATCTAAGGATACGTGAAGTTTTAGAGGATTTGGGTATTCGAAAACGGTATGGCATATGTGGCAAATATATCGGTCTTGTCCTGTAACAAACAAAGAAGATATTATGAGAAAAATCGAATGATTCGTTGAATAAAGGAATTTTTCTTATCTCTTATCATGTTACCTTGAATATTACGCGGATTTAAAAATGGTATATTTAATACGAGTAAAAGATTTTCAGAGAACCACAAGAATAGTAGTTCACCTGGAGCTATATCTCTGATCGTTTTTATTACTACCCCCTTTTCGCTGGGCATTAGTAATATATTATTGGTGTGGCAATCCGTCGCAAGACTTACTATTTTGAGCCAAGAAGAGGCGTCAATGTGCCTATCTAAGCTATATAGTCGTCCTTCCGATTCGGCAATTTCAACCTGTAATGATCTTTCACTCTTGATAATTTTTTCTTTTTATCTCGATAATAAATGTAATTGTTTTCCTATTTTTTTGATTGTAACTTAAGAGAAAATATCACAAAAAAGATCACAAAAATGTTGAAAAATCAAAAATATTTACATATTTTATTATCGATGTACATTTTTCAGGAAACTTATTTAACTCAATGATCTCGGTCATAGCATTTTTCCTCAAAAAAGTAACTGCTCTGACGATTGGGAGACGATTTTGTGATGAACTCGATACTCCGAATTTCTCCAGATTCATCATTGAGTTGTCTGATACCATTAGGGGATACATCGTTTTATAAATTAAGTATTATTTAAAAATAATTCAAACTTTGTAATATTCGACCTTAGTTGATGTCGAATACTTTCGGAAATTAATTGATAATTCTATTGGCTTCAAGCACTAAGAATTGCGATCCAAGACCGTAGTAGAAGATTCACAAAAACGTTCTAATATTTTTCGCCACTAAGAACTCTGACTCAAAATTGTTGTGACTTAACAATGAAAAATACTTAGAATTCTATAGACCTTGGTAACCACCAAATGAAGTGAAAATGTCTACTAACTATCAACCGAGTTACGCACGGCCTTTAAATGTCCGGATTGTTAATTTGCCCCCACTAGTTTTTCCTATGAGTATATGTCTAATTGTATTTAAACGCCCTAGAGGGAGGAGACACCCTCTTCCTATCGCATATCTCGAATTATAGTCCAATAGTGTTACAGAATGGTGGGGGGTGAAGTAAGCTATTCGCTGGGGTTGGTTCGCTTTTGTTTAGTGCAAGGTGTAATGGTACTTCTTGCAAATTCTTAACTCCCACTCTCATCCATGTATATTATTTAAATATATTTATTTATTATTTTAATGTAAAAACGAAAATTGTGCAGCAAGATTTTGACACTTCACAAAACATTTTTATTTTATTTTTTTAAATACTAAGAAAAAATTATTTTGTATAAATATAAACAAAATTTTATCGATAAAATTGATAAAGAAATTAAACTTTCAAATAAACAATTCTTTGTTGAAATTTTGTAACGACAAATGCACTTGTTAAAAGATGTAGACATTTTTTTAAATTCTTCGAAATATGTTTGTCAAAATCACATGGTCATATAAAATATTTAACTGTGTAATTAACAATTTCATTTGTTTCAATAATTCATGTATTTTAAATAACTTATTTAATATGTTTTAAGTTTTGTGAAAATGCGATAATTTGGAGCGAAGTTTTAGGTTTATACCTGCGCAGATTTTATATTCGTACTCGCGGTTGCGTGACGCTGAACACTATAAACCCGTAATACCTATATCTTTTCTATCAGCGAAAGATATCTACTTACTATTTCAAAAAGTATTAATTAATAATCGCAACAATCGACAGCGATTGATTTATGATGGAAAAGATTATTTAACAAGCATTAATGAATGTCGTAGGAAAATGCCGAAAAAAAGAAAAGATACAAGGTCATTGTAAATAACAATAAAAATAACAGAATCATGATAAAAAATTAATAAAACTAATAAATATTTCTTTAAAAAAGTTTATTTATTTTAAATCATTTCATACTTCTTAACTTAAAGTCCGTTATATGATATTACGCTGAATAATCTCGTCCAAAATACTATTGAAATTTCTTTTTACCTATAATTTCGTCTAGATAATTCGCATATAGATCGCATATAAAAAAAAAATTCTATGAAGGGATGCGAAAGCGAGTGAATCGAGATAAGTGGTAGATCGTTCAGCGAGAAAGAAGATTCGCGATTTGTGGAACGTCAACGGGAGATGGGACACGTTTGATGGGGCTATAAAAGCCTCATGTGAAAGGACATTGTTTGGCTCAGCTGCAATTCGGTCTACGTTCTATCCAGAAAGAAAAGATAGATAGATAGACAAAGAGAGAGAGAGAGAGAGAGAGAGAGAGAGAGAGAGAGAGAGAGAGAGAGCGAGCAGGGGATCTGTCGAAAGGTGCATCTGAATCAACGCTTGATTAGGAAATTAAGTGGCTCATTCTTCTTGCACTCTTGCATAGATCTAGCAAGTGCGATATATCAAGGATTTACTTAATCATCCGGTTAGATCTCGATGGATCTTTTACTCCAATCGGATTTGTCTAGCATTGAAGATGAATATCTAATTTTTTTCTTCCTTCTATTTTTTTTTATGCTTTCTCTTTTCTCTTTACTTCTATGATTTACTTTAACGATGAAATCATAACTGACATAATAAATTAGCAAATGAAGCTTTATCGAGTTCTTACGATTTAACGTTTTCTTGAGATAATAATTTTGTCTAATCTATGAGAAGAGACAATGTATTATAGTTGGGTATAAAGCTTAGAAAGTTCTACGTAATTACAGGTATTCCCTGCTAATTGCTAGTACCGAGTAGACTTAAAACGTTCGATCTTTAAATGATAAGCCTCATTAAACAAAGATTAACTAAAGATTTTTATCAAATTTTAACGACGTTTCACAATTACTTTTTAGATTTAAGAACAGACGGATTTAGTCATAGACTACCCTAACAAGGAAAACCAGAAGATGGTGATGGTTCTTTCGTGGTGGTCTTGCAGCCATGGTCCTCGTGATTCATGGTAGGGTGGATGGTACCGTAGCAGGGAATGACACGAGTGTTCACAAGCCGCACCATCCCTTAGATCAACCCCTTGGAAAACCCTCTCTGTATATATGTATGTATATATATATATATATATTTTTTTTTGTTCTTTTTCTCTGGTCTTTCGAAACTTAACCACACAAGCCTTTTGTTCTTTTTCAGAATTTACAACAAGTGTTCAGGATGCATGTTAAAAAATTCTTTCTAATTGTTTATCCATGAAATCTCAAGTGGTTAAAATAAAAGTTATACTTATATCTTCTGCTGGAAAATTTTTGTAAAACGTAATTCATAAAACGTAAAATGAAATGAAAAAAAAAGAAACAAAAAAAGAAAAGCCAAAAAAAGACACATAAGAAATGAAAATATCTCTTCTTATCTCGTTGACAACAATCTTTCTACCTTTTTCCTGTGGTTTATTGGTAAACCTCAAAGTTTACCCGCATCCTACGCAGGGGGTGCTACCCTTGATCCATCTCTTTCTAAAATCAGGGTGCATTCAGAAAAGTACGAGCCAGCAAGCGAGCAAGTGTTCCTCCGTGACCAATGGGCTCTTCCACGCATGTGTGCGCTTCCCAATGCGATATTAATATCGCGATTATCATCTACCTATTATCGTTACTCTCCTCTCCGTACGATCCTTCAAATAAGCCTACGAAAGACACCCTCTTTTACTTGTACGCATGGTGCTTCTCGAACGTAGGTACAAGCAATACCATATTTTTCCTATAGATATATATATTTGTATGATCGATAATGATTTTATTTAAAAAAAAAAAGAAAAAAATTATAAAAAAAACAAGAAAAAGTAAGGTGAGTATTCCTCTATAAAATATATTTATTAATACGTACGTACGTAAAACGATGAATTTGTATGTTTTAATTAATTAAATTAATTTTCTTCGAAGGCATAATAAGAAAAAAAAGAATGGAACATTTTGTAAATACAATTATAAATTAGTCCTTCTATATTATTTTCTCATTTTCGACGATCTACACGTTTTGCATACACTTAAACACGCGATGCAGGAGGTGTGAAAATTAAAGAATCGATTGCTCGATAACGTTGTACGAATACACCCTTCGTCATCGTGGAGACGGAACAAATCTTATTGTTCATCGACCCTTTACGAGAGAACCTATGCGTAGACCTTACGCAAGGACTATGCGTGGTTACACGGAAACACCGGATGCTGCAGGGTGAATTCTGAATTATAGTTGAGTTTTGCGGGGATGTACTCGTAAAGGTGATTCGTTTCGGCTCTGCAAGTGTCAAAAGTTCCCCTAGTCTAATGATTTTTTTCTAACAATAAGAGACAGTGTGTCTTATGTATTATTAATATTTCCAATCTCTCTCTCTCTCTCTCTCTCTCTTTCTCTTTCTCTCTCTCTCTCTCCCTCTCTCTCTTTCTCTTTCTCTCTCTCTCTCTCCCTCTCTCTCTTTCTCTTTCTCTCTCTCTCTCTCTCTATATATATATATATATTGATTTCTAATTTAAATTATTTAAATTATTTAAAAACGAATTGATTTCTAATATAAATAAAAAAAACAAGATTGATTTTGATAAAATTAAAAAAATGAAAGATAAAACAATTCAGTTTGCAATTATTTGTAAAATTAGGCATATTTTTTGTTAATCGAATGTTAAGCTATTTTCAAATGATCATCGAGTAGGTACTTGTTCGCAGATGAAAAATCAAGTTCTATTTTGGGCACGTGCCGTGAACATATTGCCACTGTTACATAGAAATGAATACCGTGTAACATGACACGTGACCATCAGATACCCCATAAGCTCTTTGCACATCATTCACAGACTCTATGTGAAGAGAGTTGTATTTAACCATTAGGAGCTATTTACTTGATTTTAACAGTCAATTCATGTGAGGAGAGTATCTATTAGCAAATACGTCAGTTTTTGTTTCAAAAATAGATTCTTATAAGACTATCTGCGAAAAAAAGGAAAAATGAAAAATAAATGTTAAAATTAAGCAAATGTCTTTGAAATTCCAATTGCGAAAAGAAAATAGAAAAGAGAGAATGTTGTTTTCAGGAAGATGCAGGTGACACGGGTCACATGACATAATAATAATAATAATAATAATAATAATAATAATAATATCGGATCCCTTTTTTCCAAGAGAGATCGAAGATCCATGGTTCCCTGTTGAAAAGCCAGCCTCCACTGAGTACGACTCACTTGGCACAGGAGTTCCGCGCATATAATACTAGTCGGAGAGCCACCCCATGTGTTTAATTTAATCCAATACAATATGTCCGGTTCACCTTGCTTCTCTTACCGCTGCCGCTGTCGCTATTGCAAAGGGGTGAGTTAAAAAGAGTGGGTGGCTTTTTAAAACCATACTGATCTCGATTCACCGTGAAACCTCATCCTATTATGATCAATTTAACCCTGATTCAATCAGACAGGTTTTTACTTTTGCGGTGTACCGCAAGAAATATGGAAAATGTTTGTCTCTTTTTCATCCTTTTATTTTTCTTTTTTTTTTTCCTTTCTCTTCGATTTACAATAATTTGAGATCATTGACGCAATGACTGAATTAATTATTTGTAAGAATTGTTACGTCAAATTAATTGAAAATTTTTTTTATTCCTTGGATAATTTGAAAAAATATGAAAACAAAAATAAAAATTTAACTATCTGATCTGATGTAATGATTAAAGGGATATCTACAATTTACGAAAACTATTTAGTGATTCAACGGGATTATTTTCTCAAATGAGCAGATTTACAACGTTAATCTCATTGATCTTAATCATACCTCTAAGTAGCCACTGTAATATATTCTTCTTGACATTTTCTACTTTAATGTAGACTTTGAAACTTTTTGTCTCTTTATAATTATTGCAATAAATCACAAACGAATTGATAATCTTTATATGAATCTCTGTAGTACATATCAGAGAAAATGATCTTAAAGTCGAAAAAATTTAAGTACTGAAGTATTTTTAAAGTTTCAGGAATTGATAACAAAACAATTAATCGAATATAGTTAAATCTGTATAAGAATAAGATAAAGTAGGTAGTGGAGATAGAAAAGGACAGTTATAAGTTCATTCATGAAAAAATGAAGATAGTAAACCATTGAAATTACTATAGAAATAAATCGACTTTCATTGAAGATATACCATAGTACGATATGCCATAGTACGTTAGATATCTAAATAAATAACCTGTTAGTTACGGTGTCCTTTTTGTTTATTGCAACGTTAATGCCTATTATATTTATAAAGGAAATTTTATCTCAACAGTAAAAGTATTTATGACCATTGTATGTTGTAACCTATATTTTTGTTACAACCAATGTATGTACGTCATTGTTAATCATCTCCTAGAAATATATAATATATATTTATGAGAGTATCAATAGTATGTCCATAGATATCTCATTACAAAAATAAAGAAAGATCAAAAATTAATAACTTCGGGTCATTAAATTTGTTTCATATGATAAAAATATTCATTATTTGATCATATATTTATCAATTTTTAGTCTGCGAAATTGTAAGATTAAAATAAACATTGTTAGTATCACGTTCGCACAAGACAAATTACTTGTAACATTAGGCACAATTCGTTAAACTTAGACTATTCTATAATTACACATCACCAAAAGAAAAAAAATACGAAAGATAAACTAATTACGTATACTTAAGAAAGCAAAAGGAAAATATAAGTATATGCAAGTATTTTCAAATCGGTCAAAAAAGACCAAGAAACTTTTCTTTTTTCCTTTTTTTTCATTCCTAAATAATTTCGATCAATGACAAATATTGTAAAAAAAAAG